ATGATAAACGTTATCAGTATAAGGCTAGTTAAGTCTGAAAGGCTAAAAACTACATTATCTACAAATACAATAACTAAGAATTACCAGTATTAACCAACTAGAACACTAAATAACACGCTAAATATGATGAGATGACATCCAAAATGGTGCCGATGTTCTCCCTCGCACTAGGCCCGTATGGTTTCATATTTACGAGCGCAGCATGAGCAGAGCCATCTCCCTACATCTGGGCACAATTAGGGTGTCATCAGGAGGCAGTAACGTTGGTTGACTGATTTGCATACGGTGACATGTCATCGTACTTTGGTATGAAGACACGTCACCCGCACTTATAGCAGAGTTGAACCAGAGTGGTGCTGCAGAGCGGAAAGTGACCATGATAAAATAGTTATTTTTACAGTTTGGGAAGATGTTTTCACATTTAAAGCAAGGCTGGTGTAAATTATTATAGAACAATGCATTTCAGCTATTAATGAAAAAAAGGTCTTAGGGTGTAGTTACTCTTTAATCACATTTATGTGGTTGCAGCAGGTGTGATGTGTAATTTCCAATAGCGAGACTCTTAGAGCTAGGCAGTGACTACTAGGAGAGCAGGGGGGCAGTCACACTGCACTGTAGCCCACAGTGGAGGGGGGCCCACGGCGCATCCTCTTTAGCCTCCTATACACACCCCACCAAACTAGTTAGCTAGCTGCTTATGCTGTAACATTAGGCTGCTTACCTGTATCAAGGAAATATCAAATGAATCCAACACTAACCCATTGATTTTCAGACTCCAGCTAACCGAGTTCATTAACGATGGCACATTTGGCATTCACTTAGAAAAATAGCCCTAGTTCTGCTTCCTAGTGCACTTATCTTATAAGTGACTATGAACAGAACCCAACAGAACAGTCTGTGCATACACATTTACATTTGTAGTTTCCAGTCAGGGTGATTAAAAGTATCATTGAGCTTGAACTTCACATGTCCAGGTTTTTAAAATATCATATGTAGTGGAGCATCCAAAAGCTCTCCTGGAGGAATTTCATTATTTACAGTTACCATCCAACACCTATTTCGACTCTTCAAGCCTTCAAAGAATTTATACAGCTGTGCTGCTGATGGAATTGAACAAATCTATTCAATGGCTGGAGTGCAGCAAGAAGTCAGGAACTAAACCTGTGCTCTTCTAACTGTAATCATCTAACCTGCATGATAAGTAACTTCACTAACAAATAATATGTAGCAACAGGTAGTCTGACAAACATTAAATCCTAGTGGCTGAAGTACAGTATTTCCGCTATTGCTGCTGCTGCTTCAAAATATTCTGAAACTTCACAAAGTCGCAATTACAAAACTCTGCAGAGGGCTTTACATTTGAAATGACAGATACAGAAAGTGGAGACATGTGGTGACACCCAACCAGGTCTTCCTGTGCCTAGTGATATACGGGAGAAAGAAATAAGAAAGACAGAGAGAGGAGAGGAGAGAGAAAGGTGGATTACACTTGGTAACATTGTGTTAGATATGTTTTACAGTTTAGAAGAACATTTGCAATGTAATGTTATTCTCTATTGAACTCCATGGCCAATTATTATTATTTGTATTATTATTATTATTATATATTGTGAAATAATGGTCCAGCTAACCTAGAGAATGGGCATCCCATCGCTGCTGAAAAAACATTCTAGCAGAAACACTGGAGTGGCATGCCTTGAGAGCATCAACTTGTCTCTCTTGAGACATAACAAAAAAAAATAAACATGCAAATTGCGTTTATCCCACTCGTTGTAAATCAACGTGATTGGCTGATTCCTCTGTCACTTCATAATTTTGCTGATGGTTAATCTAACGCGCAAGGGTTGCTCTTCAGCTCTTGAAGTTCAAAACAATTGGAGAGCTTGAATAGCAGCCTTTGTTTGTTCACGTACTCCGGGTATTCAGAGGTTGAAATTGTTCAGTCGACATCAGCAAGAAGCACTGTTCCAAAATTGGACAAGATATTGTCATCATTTAGTGTATCTCTGGAAGTGAAAACATTGGGCTCTTCTTCCATTAAGCTGATTTTTCAGATTTCTCAACGTATTCAGGGCTCAAACATAGAAAAATCCTTCCATTGCGGCCACAAGCTGATGCAGAAGCTACAGTTTTATGACATCTCTAGAAAAGGCTAATAACTCAGCTATTTCAAACTGAATTAGACTAAAGTTTGTAGATAAAGGTTTAGTGTTTGTAATCAGTAGTGTCATGGAAACATCTGATAACAGATTACTATGTAACTGACACCTTGAATACCCGGCCTTGTTTGTTTAGTTACTCCAGGTATCCAGAGGTTGAGATTGTTCCATTAAAATCAGCAAAATTCGCTGTTTTTTAATCTGGAAATTTATTAGGTTTTCATTTTGTATTTTAAAGATTCATTCCTTGAGTATTATTTTGGTGTTTTTTTTTGCCTCAAATTTGTGAGAAAGCATTTGATCGATTGCAGTATTTGAAATTGTGTTTCTTTCTACTTTGCCAAAACTAAAGCAGACAATTATGTTTTGTTCTTTAAAAAGTCAAGTTAAAATGTATGGTTTCCAGTTTCTGTGCTGTGTAGTGAATTTAGTATCTGGGAGGTGTTCCTGAGGTAGAAATACCAGTGATCATCAGGTCCATCCTCACATAACCCATATCCATCTGGTTTGGTTCCTCCAGCTAACAATAATGAACCAAACATCAACACATAATCAGGACAGAGGAGAGCATCACTGCCTGTTGTCTGCCAACGCTTCAGGACATCTACAACAGCAGGGTCATGAAGTGTGCTGGCAAAATTACAGCTGACCCCTTCTCACCCTTGACATCACCACTTCCAGCCACTTCCCTCTGGTAGAAGATTCAGAGCCAATTAAACCAGCGTAATCAGACATGCTAACAGCTTTTTTCTCAGAGCCGCAGTGCTCATTAATCACAGTGGAAAACTGAAAGCAACAAAACTCCTCTGTACCATAATGCTGATTTGCACAACTGTACAAATGTTCATTTTTACAAGTGTTCATGTAATTATGAATATTCTGTAATATGCTGTATATAATAGTTGTACATCTTCTGCATATGTATAGATATTCATATCTGCATGTGTACAGATTTTCTGGCATACCTTCAGCTCCTCTTACAGTTCTTTGTTCTTTCTTATTCTTCATTCTGCGTTCCATTATTGTGTTTTTAAGTTAGATATTACATAATAGTCTGTGTACTTGTCTGGTCTGTTCAGTATGTTACATATATATGTGTGCACTTACCACAACTAACTCCTAATATGTGTAACATACTCGATGCAAGTGATTCTGATTATTGTCAGTAAAGTAGGCTACCAGATCAAATCAGTGTTTGTACACATAGAGGTTGGCGGTACATCTGGGTGGATAACTCGTATTCAGTCAGCAGGGGTGGAAATAGCTCATTGTGAAATGGACTAAACCAAATTATACTGGCAACAGTGGTTAAATTTCATGTTTGGGGTCATAATGCCAGATGTACCTCTGTCAACTGTTAACCAAGGTGCGAAATATGGTCCCCCCACATAGGGCTAAATTGGTAAATGATAAGGTCCTGGAACAGTAAGTGGTGATAGATACAGCAGATCCATCGGTTGGGTGGAGGTGACAGGAAAACAAAACAAAAGCAAAATGTGTTAATTAGGTGCACAGAACAAGTAGCTCATAGTAGTCTCATCTCAAACAACAATGGTAAAGTGCTCGATGTCATGGTGTGGAGCTAACAACCTGAAGCCAAAAAAATAGGAAATGACCATTGATTTCAGAAAGAATTCTGCATTATGTGATCTAGACTGTCAAAAATGTTCAGTGTCCAGTTATGTTTGCACTATATATATTTATATTTTGATACCTAGTTCACATTGAATGGCTGACATTAGCAGGCTAGCTAGCTGGGTATCAGTAATCATTACACTACCTTATATTTGAGTCACATTACCTAGTATGCTAACTAAATCATAGTGGACATTTTAAAGTCCCCTGAATGAAATTTTCAGCAATAAACACATGAAAAATCAAATAATTTCAATTACACTGAGTAGACTAGACATGCAAATAAATGGCACCAAGATTTGAGGAGAATCAGAAAGCGAAACACCACTTTTCTCAACGATTGCAGAGTTTCTTGGCTGATTCCATGTTTCAAACTCAATTCATTGACAGTTATAACCATGGAAACTGGGTGGGCAGGACCTGCTGCAGCACTGTGACTTTTCATTGGCTAAACTGGCTGTAGGCTTAACTTAAAGTGCATTCAACATGCACTTTGATCCAGGTACACACTTTAGAACAGAATAAAACAAGTATACACAGTCTCCTGATAAAAACAGTCACCCAGTTTTTCGAGATATAAGCAGAAACGCTGTTCTTTCTCTACTTTTACTCCTGGTGCATTCTGGCCAACCCTGGTAGGACTACACTAACTACACTGACTACAGAACACTTAACTAAGATATTTAGGTGTATACTAGAATTACACTGTGGTGACTACACAACACTGATGACACTTAACCGTATACTGAGATCACACTGTACTGAAGACATCAAGATGTATACTTAAATATTTTAGATATTAACAAATAGGCATTTGATTAAGGGAGATAATCTACACCACTCCCCCTTTCAAGACCAAATGAAAGTTTAATAATCCATGGTGGTCTTCATGAAATCCACAGAATTTGGGAACAATGACAGACACGCACCAGCACCCACACCAGACCCTCTAAGCTTTTCGTTACTCCCACCAGGGACCACAGTACTACACAATTAAGCCTAAAAATTCAAGCATAGGTGATTAAATCTCAAAATGCCAAACCAGAGAGAGAGAGAGAGAGAGAGAGAGAGAGAGAGAGAGAGAGAGAGAGGAGAGAGAGAGAGAGAGACAAGTGAGTTGTGGGTGAGAACACCCTCAGATCTCTCTAACACAGAACACAGGGCTGTGACTAAAATGCAGTCCTAATACCTTTCTTATCATCAGCCTCAGTAGAGTCAGTATTAATGAGTCGAGTCGCATTTAACAAACCGACATTAGTAGCGATGACAAGGCTGAACATTTTATTCATAGCTGTAGACATGAGTGCAATGTTTAGAGAGAGAGGATAAGGAAAAACAGCACAAAACTTGACCAGGCTGCAGTCTTGTTCCATGACTGCAGCATCTTACAACAGTTACCAGTCTTTTATCAGTTATTAGTGTTTTTTTGTATGATGGGCAGCAGGAGTAAACATGTTAAGGTTTTATTGTTAACTGTAGAAAGACGTTGTTTTTATGGTGTTCTCAAGGGAGTCGAGAGAAACTTCAGCCTACCTAACCTAACATCAACTGAAAGAAGCTGTCCAGAGCTTCTGAACAGTAGAAGCTGCCCATAGCTTTTAAACAGTTCCATTTAACCATTTAAAGACAGTTCTTTCTGCGGAATCAAACTCAAGGTTGTTCTTACCCACTAAACTTTATTTATGAAGATGACATTCAGAAGTTCAGGAGTTTAGTTGAGTAGTTTATCAGCTTAAGAGCACCATTCAAACTGCAACAAACATCTGAACTACAGCCTATGGAGCGTATCTGTGGGGATGGTAGGCCTTTTTGACCAATCAAAATAAAGAATTATCCCTCTAAAGGTGTAAGCTAGTAAGGCCAGGGGCGGTCTTTGCACTCGGCAATGGAAGGCAGCTGCCTAGAGCCCCCAGCAGCCAACGGCCCCATGAAAATACAAATTATACTATATAAATTATACTATATTTATAGTATATAAAAAGATATACTGTATGTGTTGACATTAAATAATCTATTCCAAAATATATACATTTAAAAAATAACCATAGTGATTATTTTCAGTAATTTGAATGCAGCCCCCGGGGACTAGCTATAATGAACTATTCCATGTAGTTACGTGATGCTACAATTTTGCTTGTTTAAAGCTTTTTTTCCTAAAACAAGCAAAATGAGAAGGAAATGATAAATAATCTATAATATTTCAGTATTTCTCAAAATGAGAAATATTACATGTAACTACTAGATTTAAGATAATTTCACTTGCCAAGATATCATTTTCTGCAGTGCAGACAGATGCGCCACTAATTTAAAATGTACATCCAGGGGGCCCCATTCTTCTCTTTTGCCTAGAGCCCAGAATCACTAAATCTGCCCCTGAGTAAGGCACTGATCAGCATGTGAGTACTTGGTTATTCAACATTAAAAATGAGTTCCTTACAGTACTGGGTTAACTGTAAATAAAGTGGTCAGGTATGATGGCCTCATTTCTATGCCACGATGTATCTATCAAAGCCCACAGGCGAGTAAATAATGGGAGTGACCTTGCTGAGTAACTGAAAACCTAAACACATTACAAGGTTTTAAATCAGGCAGTCTAAACCTACACTCTTTTAAAGAGCATACAAAGACTACATTTGTTCTTAGAACAAACTAGTGTCAAATATTTGGAATTAAAACTAACCTCAGTAAGTTACCTGCCCTCTAAAACATTATTTACAGAATGTACACAGATTTTGTTTGGTAAATAGCTGACAACAGTCTTTGCTCAACCTGGTTTGGCATAACAGAAATTACAGGATGTCTGTCCTGGGATGAGTAGGAGCTTCTTCTTCGTCTGTCTTCATTCCATCTTGGTTCCACTGTTTGAGCAGGACAGAAGTATCTGCCTAGCATGTTGGCCAAGTCCAAACGTCGTACAGCTGAGGACAGAACCAGTTACAATCTTTCCCTCTGAAAAAGACAGAATGTGTAATAAAAGGACATAAAGAGAGAAAGAGAGAAAGAATATAAATAAATGAACGAATAAATTGATCAATGAATGAATCAATCAACTGATTAATTAATTAATTTTAAACACCATAGGCCTTACCCCTATGGTAGTGAAGTAAAGCCAGCCCCAAAGCTATGCTGAAACAACAGAGGAAGAAAAGAGGACCTGGGAAAATGAGAGAAAAAGACAGAAAATGAGGTGTGGAAACAGGAAGAAGAAAAAGAGGATAAAAGAGGACAAACTGAAAGGCTAAACACTCTCAAAGAAATGTCAAAAAAGCGAAAGGCTACCTGAAGATCACACATTGGAATGCATGCAGTCTGATTAGCAGCACAGTCACAGCTACCTTACTACAGATGTAGGCAAAAGTTTAAATACCCCCTGTCACATTACACGTTTTGTTGATTTTCTGAGTAAAAATAAATGAACAGATTCTCCACAGGGAACAAACTTAAATATGGCATTTTTCTGCAAATTTTAGTGCAGAATTTAAGTTGCTGTGCACAATTTCTGATGCTGTGTGAATGAATGCAGTATCTATGACAATATCACAATATGTACACTGTAAAAAGTGGACTTAAAAAAAATTACTTCATGTAGTAACAAGCAATTGAACCAGTTTTATTCCACCTCAAAAAACTACACTGATTGAAAGAATCATTCATGCAAAGTATTTATTTAGGTTGAATAAAACTAGTTAATTTACATGTTACCACATGAAGTAATTTTTTTATGTAAATCCAACAAGCCACTTTCTACAGTGTATTCACAGAATTTTTAAAAAGGTTAAGACTTTAGAATGGAGATATTTAAAAAAAAGCAGAACATAGAGATAATGTTATGTATAATGTATTAATCAGAACTGAGACTAGATCTGGTAAAAGAAACATACGTAGAGGGAAAAAACTGACGAAGGTCTTTCATTTTGTGTACAAAAATATATGTGGAAACATCAAATTTGACCATAACATTTAAGACAGCACTCTTCTATGCTCTCTTGTGATTGTGTAATGATAGCAACATTTTTTTCTGTTTGTGTTTATTTATTCATTTACTTATTTATTTATTTTCCTTCCCACACGGCAATCATTTCCCTAAATCTATATAGCTGATTAATGCAAGAGGAAAGAACAGAGGAACAAAGACAGCTTTGGTTTGATATGGTTCTCATGTTAAAGAACAAAAATACAGTGGCAAGAAAAAAGTACTTAAACCCTTTGCAAATTACCTGCATTTATGTAGAAAGTCATTTTAAAATATAAAATATTCAAAGTCTGTTTAACCTAATAACACAAAAAACTATGCAATGTTTGGGTCCATTTTAAATACATCATTCAAACATTCACCGTATATGTTGGAAAAAGTATGAGAACCCCTAGGACAAAGACATAGTCAGGAATTAGCAAACCTAGATCAAACAATGAAATGAGATTGAAAATGTGGGCAACGTCCTTGTAGGAAGGTTTGTTCACCCTGGGGCCATCTTGGCAACGCCACCAGGTAGTTGTTTCCAGTCAGACCAGGCTCCTATCTCTTTGAATGGGAAAAGACCTAAAAACATAAACCTCAAGGCTAGTGTTTGTAGTATTGTAGTTCTCTCAGGTTGTTCTGGCTACTGCGTTTGCACAGATCTCCACAGCTGAGGGGGACTTTTTCCATTTGTGACATAACCAGCAAGCTGATTGGCTGTTTGTACTGAGGGGCGTTTCCTCCGTAAACAGATGCCATGTTGAGCGTGACGAGCTTTCCCAATCATTTTACAAACCAGTGCCCTGTCTCCTCCTTTATAACGTCTCTGGTGTGGGTTTCAGTTACTTTGACTTATAAAAACTCCTCAAACATTTTGAGTTTGCTATTCACAAGAAGCCTCTGCTGATGTGAACTATGCCTCACAAAAAAAGAAATCTCAGAAAACCTGTGATTATGCATTATTTGATTTGCATAATGCTGGAAACGGTTACAAAGTAATCTCAAAGAGTTTAGGTATTTATTAGTCTACAGTATCTTTGTTCATGAGTCCATACGAAAAACATTTAACAGGCATGGTGTGCATAAAAAGACACCGCAGTGGAAGCCGCTGCACACCTGAAGTTAGCCAGTGAGTACCTTGATATTCCAAAATGCTACTGGGAAAACGTTTTGTGGACTGATGAAACTAAGGCTTAACTGTTCAAGAAGAATACAAAGCAATATTTATGATGTACAAAGAGCACTAAATACCAACATGAAAACAACATCCTAACGATGAAATATGGTGGAGAGAGCATCTTGATTTGGGGCTGCTTTGCTGCCAATTGCCATCATCATCAAGATTATTCAAGTATCCTACAGGATCATGTCGGTGTGGCTGTCTACCAGCTGAAGCTCAGTAGAAGCTGAGTGATGCAGCAAGACAACCCCAAACATCAAATACTAATTATAAGAATTTCTAAGTAAATCTACTGCAGAATGGATTAAAAAAACAAAACTGGCAGTCTGGAATGGCCCAGTCACAGCCCAGACCTTAACCCAATAGAGATGCTGTGGAATGACCTCACAAGAGCTGGTTACATCAGACATCCAAAAAACATGGGTGAGTTAAACCAGCTTTTTAAGGGATGTTTGATACGCAGCTAATGGAAGCGCTTGCTTGAGGTAACTGCTGCCAAAGGAGGTTTAACCAGTTATTAAATCTAAGGGTTCACATACTTTTTCCATCAGCACTGTGAATGTTTAATGGGTGTGGATAATAAACACATAAACAATTATAATTGCATGTTTTCAGTTTTAGCAAATTGTGTTTGTCTAGATGTGTAATGGATCACATTTTATAACCGATTACTGCAGAAAACTAGGAAATTCAAAAGGATTCACTTACTTTTTCTTAGCACTGTAATAAAATTCAAAAAAGACAACAGACTTGCTAAAAAATATGTCCTGATTTACAATTTTATCTGTTAAGGCATTTACTTTTTTAAATTTTATATACATAAATATGTATTATTTAGAACAAGACAAGCTACATACTGAATGTTTTACTGTCTGAAAGTGCACATTTCATTGTTGTCTGGCATGCTAGTTGCAGACTCTACTGATTATGGCTAAAAGCACAAAACGTTACAAACAGCAGCAGCTGTTTTATCACATTTATCCATGACCTCCTTTGCTGACATGCAAATGTATTTGTGTAAACTGCCACCGAAGGTGGAAAAGTGACTCATTTGTCCCTTCCTGGTGCAACTTCAGGTATTTGAGTGAGCAAGTAAGTGAGTGAGTGTGGGTTTACCCCTGTCGTTAAGGACACAGCGCTCCTTGTGGAAAGGTTTAGGGTTAGTTCCACTTAGTTCTGGGGCCTCTGTGGACAAACAGTATTAGCTGGCGTTAGTCAGCATCGTAAAGGTAAGTTCAAAAAAAGTGCACATCCACTGTAAGTTGCTTAAGGCTGTGTATGAAATAGCTTTGCCCTGCCTCCTGTCAACAAACTCCTATAGCGAGACCATATGACTGCAATACTGTACAGCTGGGACTCCCTGTATTCCACAGCTATTCATTCTGGCGAATTACCAAGTCTGACATTAGCCATATGTTGCTGTGAGATAAATTTACTCAGTTTATAATACTGTATAACATAAACGTTATGTCCAAAAGTAACAAGACACTTCTTCTAATTAGTGAATTTTGCTACTTTAAAGTAATAGTTTGGAAAAAAAATTCCATTATTTTCCACCTACCCCAAATGCAGCTGATCAGCCAAGACATGTTTTGTGTCCAAATTTTGCTTCTTTAGTTTAGAACTGGAGCTTCTAGGCAAACTGTGCTAACAAACACTGGAACTCAAGAGTCACCCAAACCGTTTCCACAAGTAAATGCCAATTTATTTATACATTTGCTTCAAATTACATCAATAAGCTATGGATATAAAAATAACAATTATAGGGATTACATATTAAAAAAAACAAGCAAGATGGCATGGACAGACCGTATTTATGCATTAAGCTAAAGCTGGAACTACATTATCATCCGCATAACGTCTCACTTTCTTGTACTATTCCGCCTTCAAACTCTGGGAGCTAATTTTGGGCACCCAACATGTCTTGACTGATACAGTGGAAAATCATGTAAAACTGATTTTTTTGACAAACTATTCCTTTAAGGTGCACCCATTGTTGATAAAGCCTTCAACTATGCACAACAATGTGAAATATATAAATAAATGAAAAAAACATACATCAAAGCTCATAACTGTGGTTAGCAAAGCACAAGTTCATGTCAAATGTGCCTGCATTTTAAGTATATATTTATGTTTGTGTGAGCTTACTTATGTGGATACGAATATGTGCATGTGGTTGTTCTTACCTCTGCGATACACACGAGTAGGCAGGCTAAGGTAGAGGTCTTCATTATGAAGGTGAAGTGCTCGATAAAACTCATGACATGCCTCCTCCCCCTTCCCCTGCAGATGGCTCAGCAACTCAGCCAAACGTGTGGCTGCAGGCACACTCAAGTTACGGAACTATAAGACAGAAGAACAGCACCTGTTTGAACTGTGAGCCACTCCTTGTCTAGACATTTATAAAAGGTGTCTAGAAGGGTTGCACAACTGTGATACTGGCCTTAGCAATCATGATATTGCAAAAGGCTGCAGTATGCAAATGAGCCGTCTGGACTAATCACTATTACATATAAATGTTTTCTGTTTGTGTTTTGATGAAGTATTCACGTAATCCCGCAAAAGTAAACTATTCTGGTTAAAACAATGCAGGGATATTTATAATCATGTCTCATCATTGATCCTCCAATGTGTTTTTACAGTGTTTTAAAGTGTATAGTATCGCAATAGGTTTTGTGCAATAATGTAAGTGTACCTGAGATTCATATAAGGGACGTCCAAGACTATTCAGCAAAATGCTGATTTTATATAACGTAAAGGTTTTGCTAGCATTTGTAAGCATGTACGCTATATAATACGTTGCTACTCAGAAATGTGTTGAGAAGGACACACTGTTAAGGATGTGACCGAAAAGGTGAAGATAGCGATGCTTTTATCGCTAAATAGGCTAGATTGATGCTAATGTTAAGTAAAAAAAAAAGTATATTTCCCTGACAAACTAACGTGCTGGCACAAGAGGAAGAAAACATCCGTAGAAGGTGACGAGTCTTCACCGGCATCCAGTGTTACCGGTTAACTGTAATTTTAGCTCATTAGCTTTTTCTAGCATGGCATAGACCAGATTCATGAACACACGGAATACACATCCTACTTCATGCCATTTGTAAATGCCACCTGTAGTACTGTCCAGTACTGTACATTTACAGTATTTTACTGGGAACTACTCAGTCAGGACCTTCATGTAAAATATACATATCTTTTTTAGTGTAATTACAAATACTAGTATTCACTAATATTGTGTCTAGCTAAAAAAAAAAGCATGTGGAGTGGTGGAAGTAGGGAGCAGTGCTAGCTCATGCAGTACATATATCTAAATGCTTACATCCCTCAGCCAGTCAAAGAAATCTAGAAGTGCATATTTAAGGTTACTTGGCACAAGTGTGAGGCTACTTACTGTCCATTACAATACAATTAATTGTGCTTTCATTGGAAGAAAAGAGCGGCAAAATTATGCCTTGTTCCATTGTACTCAGAACTCAGGAATATATTACCAGAAATGTGCAAAGGAACAGTCATACTTCTCAAGTCTCAATCATGGGCTGTGAGACTCGCAGATTTGAAATTCTCATGAAGAATTACGAAAAATTTCCAGCTTAAAACAAACATCACAAGTGTATTAGTTAATATATGCTTAGCATGGAGTTGGCCACTGTATGCTGAGCAACATGAAGGACATGAGGGGCTGTCCCAATATCAGGTTCCTCTCAGGTTTTTCATATTTGGCAGATTAACCTGAAAGTAGTGTTTACTGCAAATAACATAACAAGTAAAAACAGTTCTCAACCCATCAGACTGTAGCTTTGATTGTAAGACAGAGATTAACAATACAATGCATTTTCTACCATTTTCTCACTTTTTCCCACAGATCAGGGAACAGGAGTCAGGATCAGGAGTACTGACTCAAAACTACTGACTTCTGAGTACAAGTGAATGTAAAATTGTCATCCAGCAGTGTCCAGCTCCAAAAGACTGGTCACACTTCTTGGACTGGTAGTCTAGGAAGTGCCTACACTTCACAGCAGGAGAAAAACTAGCAAGAGACAATTGTTTGGGAAGGTGCACTGCTGGTGACATTTGCTTAGGTAACAGGCAGCTTTTCCATGTGACAACTGAGAAGATGAGGTTCTGTAGCTGAACTGACATCTTTTGACAACTGCCAAATCATAAGCATAACAACAGGTCCTCTAAATTCAGTAAAAAACAAAAAAATCAAGCCACCGATCAAGTGTCTAGGCATTCACAGGGCTTAATTGGCAACCCTAGACAAGAGACTAGTTTCAATTCTTGCAAATAAGCCTAAGCCAACTATAAAAAATGAAGAAGTGCTTTACAGATTGGTAATAAGTGGGTAACAATACGGTAATATTAGGGCAAACAGTTGTACTAAACTAAAAATGACATGCTCATTTTCTAGTTGTTAATAAATTATTAAAAATTAAAAGTTAGTATTGTAAAGGAAACCAGTTGGTAATAAAAATGAAAAATAATGTCAAATTCAAACAATTTTCAGCTAATCACTTTACCACATTTATAGGAATAAGGTGTTCAGCATAATGTCTGCTTTATCAATATACCACCCCAATTCTTTTAAATCATTAAAGTTTTTATAATATTCCGATTATATAATTCAGTAAGAGAATGTGGTATTAGAGCTGTAAAATACACTTTTTAATACTTTATTTCTTATAAATGGTCAGGGACAGTTTGATGTACAAGACACAGTTACAGGCTGTAATTATAGTGAAACTAAATGTTATTAAGGCTGTAAAATGCTTTAAATATTTAAAAAACTCAACTTCTTTTCATCTTGTTTCTAATTTACTACATTTCACATCAGGTGATGATGTCAGTTCTTTAGAATAAAGTGGCTAACTGCACTAAAACTGTGACTGCACTTATATTATGAACACTGCCTTATTATAATCACTCATGGTTGTTGTATTACATATACATGTAGGCCCACCTGCAGACAGGTGTAGTAACTCAGGAACAGATTAGGTAAATGTACTGAGATTACACAGAATCAGGACTGGAAAATGCAACATTACATGCTCCTTTTGTGTGGCCTGTTAACAATATACTGTTACTCTAACAGAAATTATTACAATCTTTCCTCATCTGACCTTAACTTTTAGTAACAACTACAAAACTAGCATGCAATTTTTAGGTTAGCGCAAATTGTTACCATTAATTTATTATTAAGTTATTACCAACTTATTACCTATTCTAATTACTAACTTATTTTTCCGTAACACGTCCTGTTAATTTACCACATCTTGACCGATTTATTTTCGATCTGTAATGTAAAGCGCTACCACAATTTATATTGATTGTATTGTATTAAACAGGTAAGCAATTTAAAAGGACCACTTTTTCTTCTCTCTTGGTGAACAAAAATCTGCTGGACCTTCTTAACACAAAGACACCACTAACAGCTATTTCATCAACAATTGCACACACAAATCAGTCACATCAGTCACTGTCAGGTCTTTAGATCATTCATAAAATGGAGCATGGAGAGCAGACAGGGTGTTCAAAAGTGCACCTGAAAATAAAACTGCCATTCTTCGTAAGTTCAGGTAAAAAACTTTTTTGAAGTCTGCCAAGATATATAACTACAAAAGTTACAGGGTGGATTTTTACTGGGAAATTACTTACTTTCTGTGCTTCCCTGTCTGTCAGTATCTGAGGGTAAATCCGGTTCAGCTGGAGGACAAGTTTGTCCAGGAGCTCAGTGCCCACGCGCTGCTCAGCGCAGAGGAACTGTGAATCTTGCTGCAGCTGTTCCTGGTACCTGTCTAAGAAGGGGGGATGAGGGTATTTTGACAATACATCACATCTTGAGGGGTAATTTTTGTACATATCAAGAATCATGAAAGGAGAAGACAGTTTCACTAAAGACCTCAAATACAAATAGTCCAGGTGAAAATTATGACTGTTTACAGTTTAGCAAAATACATTATCTTTGGGTTTGTAGAAAGTCGAAATGGAAAAAGCACATATTAAACCACGTTCTTATCCAGGAACAGAGCTCTCAAAGGTAAACAGGTAAAAGTATCGTTATTTGAAAATCTATATTTACGACATAAGTAAAACTGACCTTCCATGAAACATCATCTGTTCTAGTTCACCTGAGGCTCAAATGACTTTTGGTGTAAATTTGCATTCAGAATTCTGAAGTTTTTTTGTTATTGTTTTTGTTTTTAGGAAGCGTTTGTTCTGCGTCTGCAATGTAATTTATCTGCAGGGACAGTTGATATGGTGGTTGATGGTTGCTTGCTGCTGTGGAAAATTTATATTTAGGTGATTTTACAATATATGGCCAAAGGTATGTGGACCTATACATCACACCCCATGAGCTTGTTAGACATCCCATTTCAAAACCATTAGGAAAACCATGGAGTTTTTTTGCGGCTGTAGCAGCCTCCACTGGGAAGGCTTTCCACAAGACTCTGGAGTGTCTGGGTAAATTTTAGCTCATTTAATTTGTGAGGTCGGACACTGCTGTTAGACGAGAGGACCTTGCTCACAATCGATGGTCCAATTCATCCAAAAGGTGTTCAGTGGGGTTGAGGGCAGGACTCTGTGCAGACCACTGGAGTTCCTTCACACCAAACTCATCAAACTATGCTTTGTGCACAGGGGCTCAGCCATGCTGGAACAGGAAAGGCCACATATAACTGTCTAAAGACGCATATAACTGTCTAAAATGTCTTTGTATGCTGGAGCATTAACATCACCCTTTACTGGTACTAAGTGAACAAGCCCAAACCCTGAAAAACAACCCCAGGCAGTTAACTCCATTATGCCTCCTCCACCAAACTTTACTGTTAGCATGTACAATCTGGTAGGTAGTGTTCTTCTGGCATCTGCCAAATCCAGTTTCATCCATCAGACTGCCACATACTGAAGTGTCACTCTAAAAAACGTTTGCACTGCTCCAGAGTCCAGTAGCGAAATGCTATACACCACTCCTGCCGACGCATGGCATTGTGCATTTTGATCTTAGGCTTGTGTGCAGCTGCTTGGACATGGAAACCCATTTCCTGAGGCTCCCGGCATGCAGCTCTTTTGCTGATGTTGCTTCTAGAGGCAGTTTGCAACTCTGGAATGAGTGATGCAACACAGGACATGCAATGTTTATGTGCTACATGCTTGTGGCAAAGGTGTCATCTATGACAGTGTCATGTTTAAAGTCAGTGAGCACTTCAGGATGACCCATTCTATGACCAATGTTTGCCTATGGAGTTTGCATGACTATGTGCTTGATTTTATCCCCCTGTTAGCAACAGGCGTGGCTAAAACTCCTAAACTCAATAGTAAGGAAGGTTCTCCACATACTTTTGGCCATACAATGTACGGTAAAACATTCACGCTTTTAATTGCCAACCAAGACTTTAGAGTATAATTTAATAACGAAAAACACGTTGGACAAGAAGGAACCAAGAACAAGGGTATTTCAACAGGTTTGAATAGATTCTCCAAATGTGGATTAGGCTTGCTTTCAAATCATAATCCTTTACAGTGTTTCGCTGGGTTAGGCTAACTGCTAAATGTCTACTGTCTCACTACTTTGGCACGAATCTCTACTTCGTGAGGACAGAGTTAATGCAAAGAGGTTTAGCGTCCAAGTTTAGAAATCTTATAACAGCCCGGCTGCAGAGAGAAACCCTCAAAAATGGCATAACCAGTAACAAGAGCTTTAAGGGAAAGGCTACAGTCAGCTACTGTAGAAGAGTTCGGGCAGATTGTGATACAGTAACAGCGAAAGCGCGTTCTATGTCGAAGATTCAGCGCTGAAACACTTTCGTGTAAATGTGTGTATAAAACTGCTTCTAATGCCAGCCACGCTACTAAACTTCGGGGAGTGTTCAAGTAAAGCAGGCTGTTCGTCTGAGCTGCTTCCCGCGATATACAAACAGAACGCGAGCGGAATTTCTTGCGGCTCATGTTTTGGAAATCTGCGAATCTGTGCTTGTCGACGGCAGCCCACACTTTCACTGAGTTGACCGAAGGTCGGCCGACCGTCAGCAACAAGTCAAAGCGCTAAAATTGACAAACAGCGCTAAATCCTACGGTCTAAACTAAGCCACTCGCCGAAACTCACAATAAGTGGTTTAACAATGGATTTACTGACCTGCCATTGTGCAACTGTGGGTGAATTTCTCGGACTGCCGATTCGCCACTCGTTCAACTCTGAGATGAAGGAGCACCATGACGGAATCAGCCGGAATGTGCCGAGCTCGGACGAGTCAGGCTGTTCCAAAATACACTGGAGTAACGGTGTTAAATCGCATGCTAATTCATTAATAAATGTTCTTCTAAACCTCTTATACTGTGTAACTGTGTGTTTTATTTACGCATTGCTAAATTGGGTGTCAGGGATGTTTAATCGGCTTGTCTAATATTTAGCCACAAAACACTGAAGTTCGGATTTACTTGCTCACACTGTCCACTGAGGGTCGCTGTTCACAGCGATATTTTTTAGGATGAAACACAACACACTCCAGCTTAGACCACTCATGTTCAAATAAACTTTACTCAGAAAAAAATAACACAGAAGTCAATCCAGCTGAAAGTCCACCAAAGGAAATGCCTACATATCATATGTTGAAAACTTTTGTCAGGTTTTCAAGGTTTACATTCCCAGAGCAAAAACAGTTTAATGAAACTGCTCACTACTCATCTACGTGCATACAGATATGTGTTGTTTACTGTACTGTAGGTTAAGTTTTCACATCTAATATCCCCCACAAACATTTATCTTATGTTTAACCCTCCCATTATCTTAGGGATCAATTTGACCCCTTCAATATTTAACTTCTCTAAATAAATGATCGACAGCATTTTTTTTTTTGCTTCATAATTAATGACTCTTCCTAACTTAGTGGGCACAACTGGGCAAACATAAAATGAATTTTATGTTGATGATGATATGCTTTCAATGTCCTGTACACATTTTGTACGCATTGGTGTTCTTTGGGGTCAGTTTGACCCCAGGTTGTTTCAGCTGTATACACACAGTTATTTTGGCTGTTTTGGATTATATTGAGAACATAACATGCAATTTTGTTATCTTCAAAAAACTTCCCTCTGTTTTAGGGCCATCACCTAACATAACTGTACCGGTACTGGAGGTTTAAATTGCTGGAGTAAAGGATAAAAGATGTTCGTAAATTTGAAGGCAATAGGAGGGATAAACAGCACAAGAAGGGGGGAAATGAGAGAGAGAAAGAGAGAGAGAGAGAGAGAGAGAGGGGGAGAGAGAGAGAGAGAGAGGGAGAGAAAGAGAAACAATAAGTCAAATATGTCTGTACATTCTCACCTGCCTTTATATACAGTCAGAAACTACAACCCAACTGCTGCCATGCAGTTTGTGGTAGCCATGCCTGGACTTGCTTGTCAAGTGGTCAGTTTCTGACCAGAGAAGTCCTTGTTTGGATATATATATTTATAGATATTTATCAAGATAAAATGGACAAAACAAGCACCAGTACTGTACATGTGATGATACATAGCCTATTCTGATTAATTATACATTACCTTTGTCATTGACTGGCTTGGAGAAACAATAATGAACCACTGGATCTCCCATGTACATGACCATTATTGCAGTTCAAAGCACAAATCTGTAATCCTCCTACCTACATTAGCTCATTAATAAACAGAGGTGTCGGGCATATCAGATTAGGGTTAGCATAAAGTTCTAGAGGAATGCATGGTTTTAAGAACAGGACTGTCCCATCCTGGTTCTTAAGCTGCTCTTAAGGCACACATGATAAAAAACAACATTGTAAGAAAGCCTCATTCTCAGTTAAGAGCTCAGACTGGAAACAAGGTTTGGCCTTACTGCTCTTTGTATTTAGCAACGAAGTTGTTTAGTGGTCCATCCATAACGGGCAAACAGTCTGATTTATTGCTGCAGAACAACTGTTCATACAGATATAACCCAAATGGGTGGGCTTTTTGCATCAAGTGGATGTTGGCCTTGTCCACCCACACCTGAGAGTGCACTGTCCTGTGTGACCATCAAGGTCGGTATGGATTGTTTCCACGGTGGCTGTTCCAAAGTGGGATCATATCCACTGCAGGGTGGTGGAGGTGGAATATGTGTTTCAAGAGGCTGTAGGACACATGTGGTCTGGGTGTTTATATAAGAGGTGGGGGGCATTGCTTTGAGGGGAGGCTGGCTGGGGTGGATGCTCAGAAGGTAGTCTTGCTGATGATATCTGTGAAATAGACAAATGATCAATGAGAACTGGTTTGTAAGCCGCAAAACTGTTTCCAATATTGCATTCATCTAGTGCCCACATATATAGGACTGTGCAAGAGATCAGCTTCATTTGCCTAATTTCCATTCAAAGCAGCCATTAAGGACAATTTATTCATTTTTTCAGGGGGCATTTCTGAGGACGGTGACACTTTATTTTGAGGGGTCCTTTTTTAGATGAAACACACTCAATGGGCTTTTAGTAACATGTCAAAAATATATTAGGGTTAGGATTAGGTTTTGGGTTGAGGTTAAGGTTAGGGTTAGGATTAGGGCCAGAGTGAGGGTTAGGTTTTGGGTAAGGTTGGTAAGGTTAGGTTTTGCATAATGGAAGTAACATATTAACAATACATCTACTTAATGTAAGTAATGTATCAACAGAACATCTACAAGATATTTATCTCAATGTGTTCAGATGCTTCAGTACTGCTACTTCACTGATTTGTTGTTGATGTGTTACTTAAGAGTCTATGAATCATCTACAAAAGACCACTCCAAATAAAGTGTTACCCCTGATTCAATTCTTACTCCAGATCTGAAAAAAAATCACAGCTGTTTCTGTCCATCCTTCCACTGTAAGAAGACAACTCAACACTATGGATAGATGTCAATAAGATGTTACTACTTAGAAAAGGAAGTAGACAAAAAAAAGAAAAATCTAGGTGTAAATCAAACAAAAAAGCAGGTGGTGTTCTCAGAACAATGGACAGACCACCTCAGAGAGTTCAATATCACTGAATGTGTTTAGGATTACTTGGATGCAAAAAAAGCAACCTTCTAAGACTGAACTTTGGAGGTGAACAAATATCCCTGCAGATTTCTTTGAAAAACTGAAAACAAACAAACAATACTTAATGGCTGCAAATGAAAGAAAATCTCCAAGCAAACTTCACTTCCTATGCTGACAGATAGCTCTATAGGGAACGTGTTACTTGAGGGTTTTTTTACCTGATTCTTTTTGAATCAAATCATTTGGTGCCATACCTGCATGCAGCCTGCTGATCACTAAACGTGCCTGGCTGGATATCAGATACAGACTGATGTATGGGTTGAGGAGTAAGTTGCGGTGGTTTGCTGTTGTTGTTGTTGTTATTTCGCTCTTTATGGTTATAAAAACCTTCTGTCATTTCCTGTTGTTCCATGTGCTGCCAACAATCTTCTCTCTTCCTTCTCTCTCTACGCACAAACAGACACACACACACACATTGTAAGCAGCGACACCCAAACACTCTCACATGCCACCATTTGCACAAACAATGCTTACTTGAACTTACATAAGATCATTTATATTAATGTGTTTCATTCTTTTGTTTCACAGCAGTAACTCACTGTAACTCAGGTTGCTATCAAGATTACGCTGTCTGTTTAATTTGTTATCAGACTCTAAAACAATCCTGACTTCTTTAAAAATGACATCTTTAAAATGAGCTATTTTTAACTGAAGCACTTAAGATGAGCATCTAAAAGCTGACTATCATACTTAAACTACCCAAACACTCTACTACCTCACAAGATGAACTACACAGCTAACAACATCATATCACACAATGTGAGCCTGTGGCATCCCTAGGAAATCTGTTTTATTTTTTTTCCCAAATTCCATTTTTTCCCATTTTTGGGATTTTACCCAGTTATCTGCAAGATTATTGAAAAAAAATAATGAAATACTTTATTGAAGTAATATTCAGTAACAGCAATAAAACATCTGGGTATAATGAACAAATTCATTAATGACTCATACACTCTCTCACGTGTAGTGAGCTACAGACTGGCACTAGATTAGATCGATTAGACAGAAGTGCTGTGGTTTTTGTGTGTGTCTGTGCTTTTGGCAGCGTATGCAGTAAAACACCCTAAACACATCCTGCATATGTAGAAAACAAAGGTAGTGTATATTTGCTGCATTTAAAGTACCGATATGAGATACAGTTCTATGCAAAAGTTTGGGAGCCCCTGGTCACATTACATGTTTTGTTGATTTTCTAAGTGAAAATACACATCCTCTACACATCGGCAGATTTTAATATACAATTACTGTTTATTTGCTGAATTTAAGATATTGGAAAAAAATAAAACAAACTGTGACCTGTGTAAAAGGTTTGGAACATTTTTATTTAATTTTTTCCAATATGGCAAACTTGACAAATGAACAGAAACTGTGCACTACAATTTGCTGGAAAAGGTTTGTTCCCTGAACAGAACATGTTCACTTATGCCACTGTATGCTGTTTACTGATGTGACAAACCCTCACTTCATCAGGGAAACGATACTTTAAGGGAAATTCCACTTATTTTTCAAAACTTCTGCATAATAAAACAATTAACATGTCAGCAAAGTCATACAAAATGGTTTGGTGTGAAATGCTCTGTTTCACAGACACAAGCAACAACAGTGGTGATAGGAACCAGACATCCGAAACATTTAATGCCTCTAAAAATGAACTCACAGAAAATTATTAAACAAAATGGTTGGGATTGTTTTAGCATAGTTTTGGGATAAGGTTTTGGGTAAAATCAGTTATATTTTTAAATAATTAATGGGGGAAGGATACATACATGGTATTCTAAGGCAAAAGAGTACCCAAAAAGATTTTTTTCAGACCCATTAACAATATTATATATATATATAACTCAAGAAGGCACATGTAGGTTTGCTGGTAATTTTAGATAGTAAATAAAATGGCTATATTTGCACTGTGGCTTTATTAGACATTGCAACCTCTGGTTCTTATCATCATAAGAATTATCTTGTGAAGAAATCTGAGCTGGTAAGTTTCTCTACAAACTCACCATTTCACATCAAACCATTCTAAATGACTTTGTTTACATCCCAAAGATTGAACTATGCAGAAATTTAGAAAAATTGGTAGAACTCCCCTTTAAGCTAGCCTGAAGAAAGACACCAGTGACGTTTAGCATGTTCTTGTTTTACTATTACTGATTTTACAGTTTTACTGATGCGCAGGGGCTGGATGCCCATGATATATACAGACGTATCACAGGATCTACGTTCACAAACGTCTAATGTTTAGAGATTTTGTTACAATCTCCAACATTTCTTCAATTTTTTTTTTTTATCCAAAATCTGTCACAGGATTATTTAAGATTCATTCTTTTTTTTCCTTATGAAACCAGATCCAGCATTTTCTGATGATACTCACTCTATACTGATACCTGGTATCGGATTGGTGCCATCTCTAAAAATGATCGATTCATAAAAAGGTCCAGTAAAGAATATACATCTTTCACTCATTGTGATACAGGCAGACCCAGTAGGCCCCTCTCTGTTCAAAGCCATTTCCAAACAGTTCCATTTTTGGTACTCTCACTCCTCTCTCTCTTTTTCTCTCCAGCTTTAACACCTTTCTCTCTCCCTTATTCTTTGCTCTTCTGCTCTCATTCATTATCCCACTCATTTCCCTCTCGTTTCTTCCTCCTCCCTCTTCTCACCTTTCCATCCGTCTCCTTTCCTCTTTTCTCACACGCTTCAGCAGGCAAGAGGTGATGAAGATTATGCTCATGAAAATGATGATGGCTGAGCTGATGATGGATGCAAGCAAAGCCAAACGGAAGCCTTCATCCTCGTACCGTGAGACAGCTAGAAGAGGGAAAGATTTACGCAACGGTCAATAGCAGAAGTGAAAAGAAGTGAAAAATATACACAGCAAAGATGCTTCTGCTTTATGTTTGTACACTTCACTTCCTGCAACTCAGGGGACCATTATAAGACAAGTTCCCAATGCTATGTGAGCACATTGTAAAAAACCCAACTTAAATTTGTTGGCCTATATCATTTTATGGTATCTGAACAAAGAGTTTGTCAAGTATTGATTTAAAATGTTATTTTTTGTTAGTCCAACACAATCCGCCTAAGTACTAAAAACACACAAGTGTTTGGTTAAAAGAACTTTTGCAATTAAACTTTTTGAGTAAACTGAACATCAAATCCAAAGTTAAAGGGGAATTCCACCCATTTTTCAAAAGTTCCACATAATTAAATGGTTAAGATGTAAACAAAGTCAAGAGTGGTTTGGAGTCAGAATTGTTCTCAGTGGTGGTGATAGGAACCAGGCGTCTTAAGAGTTTAATGCCTCTAAAAGCTCCTTCAATGAAAATTACTACACAAAGTGGTTAAGTATACACTGCCGGATGTCTGAGACATTGTTTTACGATAGTCTTGTGATAAATCCATTTATTTGGTGGAGGGTACATGCAAGGTGTTGCCCCCAAAGAAAACGTATTTTTTCAGACTTTTCATTATTTTACCATCATCAACATTACATATAAAACCCAGAAGACACGTGTAGGTTCACTGGTTTTGGATAGTAAATAAAATAGCTATATTTGTGTTGCAGACATTGTGACTCCTGGTTCCTATCAACACCACTGTAAAGAATTCTGAGTCTGTACGTTTCTCTACAAAGAGTGTATTAAACAGTGTATTAAACAATTTTGTACACAGACATTTAAGTGATTTCAGGGTCCCCCAAGTGGCATAACTGTCTAAGCGTTACTCTATTATCAGGAGATTGTGGATGCCACAGCCTACGGAGCCCCACTGGTGACATTCCCATATAAATAAAAATAACATGTGGCGTTATTTGAGATCCTAATGTGTGGCAAGGTAACCTGCTTACTTACTTTTTTAAGTTTAAAACGGCATAATATAAACTTACATATATTATAGAAACTTACCAACTCTGAAACTGTTCTTTACAGCGGTGGTGATAGGAACCAAGGATCACGATTTCTACAACACTACACTACTACAACTACAGCCATGTCTTCTTAGATTTAATATGTGCTAATATGGTTTTTTAATCATACGTTTTAGGTCAAAACTTGATATTCAAGCTACCATAAAACAATGTCGCAGGCATCAGACAGTGTATTTGTAACCATTTGGTGTAATAGCTTTCTGTGAGAGAGCTTTTAGCGGCTTCGGTCGTCTGGTTCCTATCCTAGTAAGTTTCTGTAGAACACAGTATTTTTTATCAATCTCACTGAATGACTGTCTGCATCTTAACCATTTTATTATGCAGAAATTTTGGAATGTTACTACAACAGTATGACATCAAATTCATGTGTTTCCACAAGCTACCATCTTTTACCATTTTTCATTAAAAGCATGAGGCCCAAATGAGAATCTAAATGATCAAATTCTATTTGTTTACACTTGATGTAAAAGATTTTATGCAGATATATAAGATCATTAAAAATAATGCATTCAACAAAATGAGAAGAACAACGGAAAAACGGAAAAGAACAGAAAAGGAAAAGAAACACTGTACATAATACTGTACATACAGTCCAGTACACAACAGTATGACAGTTGATTGGCACACACAGTCAGAGGCTGCTAGTACATCTCAGGAAAGAGAAACAATATAATAGGATTCTTTCAGGGAAAGTGAACAATAATGTAGTAGAGCTTGAAGGCCTTGAAGTAAGACCCCAAGTACAAAGCAACAAATTAGTCTTTTACAGCAAGAGGAAACGAGAAAAGCGAGAAAATGTAAAAAGTTTCAAATTAGAGTCGTAAAGAAAATGTCAGAGGAAATGAATGAAGTCTGGCATGCTCCACTGATCCTGCAGTGCTGGCAATTTTCCTGCTCAAGGCTTTCTAAGCATTGAATATATTGTGTATGCTATCTACTGTATCACACAGACAGCTGAAAGAGTGGTTTAGAACACAGACGCCTATTTTTACTTTTTCTGTCATACTCACACTAACACATTCTCACACTCTTGACACTCTTGTCTTGTTTTCTCTCTTCAAACACGCTCACACACTTGTCAGTCACCCCAGCCTCTGCCAGAGAATGCTAATGGTGTTGTTTCAGACTTTTTTGAATCATGGCAGATTTTCCAGTGTGAGTAATCTGTCCAGAAGCATTATTAAAGGATTGTAAGGATCATATGTAGGATGGCCATGTACATGTATGTATGCATGTCTTACGTCTACACTCTGGGACTCCTCCGCTCCACAGCGCAGTGTTACTGTCCTGCACGCAGGACACCCGTCCACCGCTGACCGCCCGGTGCTTGTAGGGGCACTGTAAGGTCATCACAGTTCCAACACTGGTGCCATTTCCCACCACTAGCTTTAGCGTACCCACAACCGGAGACTGCATGGGAGCGCATTGACCTAACAGAGAGAAACAGAGTATCTTCAGAGGACAGAGTGCACAGCATTGGAATGCTAAGTCTGAAACAAATGGAACACAATGAGCAGCACTAGATTAGAGTTTCCTGAAAAACATTAACTGCACGCAGTGCCCTGACGCACTCAGACCATTCTGGTCCTGCAGGACCTCGATAGCAAAGCAGTATTTCTACTAAGGAATTTTAGGGAAACACGCAAAGTACAGTGATATTTTGTAAACAAACGAAACAGTTGAAATGTAGAAAAATACATACTGACCTATAATCTCATACGCTCATAATAAATTTGCAGTGCCAGGACAAAATCTATAAATGCTAATAAAACACAGCTTTATTGTTGAAGATGAATTCCACCAATTTTTCAAAAGTTCTGCATAATGCTGTAGTTGAGATGTACCAAACAGTGATTTAGAGTAATAGAATAGAATAGAATAGAATAGAATAGAGTAGAACAGAATAGAACTTTATTGTCCAACAATGTTGGTCATTTGTCTTTGTTTATCTTTCCTTATAATACAACATAAAACAGTAAGTACAAACATTCTCAACAAACCACAATCTAAACATAAATCCTACACCAGTCTTTACATGCTAATTCAGGAGGATAAAGATGTTGGGAATAAAAGGTTTCTTAAAACACTTTTCTTAGTTTTAGGCATCCTTAAGCATCAACCTGACAGTAACGACTCAAACTCATTGTAAAAAGGATGGCTTGGGTCATGAACTATCACTCTCAGAAAAAAGGGTACTAAACCGTCAGTGGTACCCAAAAGATACCCATCTTGTCACTGGGGTGGTACCCTCCAAGGTACGTCTTCAATACCTTTAGTGAGGGAACATAATTGTACCATAATCCATTGAAATTATATTCTTTAAGTTGTACTGACTTGCACTGACATTTATTCAAAATGTTAAATTATGAAAAGGTACTAATAGGTACTTTTTTCCTGGGAAAAACTGATTTAAGGTACATAAATGGACATTAAAACCATTGTTGTACCTTTGTACCTTACCTTGATGAATGAAAACGTACAGCAGCCCTATACAACTCATCTAGCTGCTCCTGCTGCCTAACTGTAAGTTTACTAGCCATTCTAAAAACTCTAGGCATTTAGGTTCCAAAACCAAACACTTTCCACCAAACTAATGTAGGCTTTTTCCAAGTATGTTTTTACTCACTCCAATCAGTCTCTGATTAGCTCTCTTGAAAATATTGTGTCTTCTCAATAAAACTGAGCTGATCATCTAAAAAAAGTTCTAATGTACTTAAACCATTTAACACTTTCCAAGGGTTGATCATTAAGAGCAAGTGCTGGTAGGCGTTCCAAACTGTGACATGTCAGTTCCTTTGTTTTCTCTACATTCATTAGAAAACTTGAACTTCACCAACTTTAAAGAACGGAAACATGTTCAAAATAAATCTGATTATCTATCACTTGTTTTGCTTATCTATCACTTGGTCACCAGGAAAGAGACCAACTACAGCCAAATCAACCACATATAAAAATAATTGAACAGAGATAGTATAAATAGAGAAGAGTAAAGGAGACAGAACACATTTCTGGATGGTGCCAGTGTTTTAAACCAGTTTATCAGAAAACACCCCTTTATTCTAGACTGTCTGAGAGCGGCCTGTTAAAAAGTCCTTAATCCAGTGTACCAACAATCTACAATCAATATCTTAAATCTAAGCACAAGACTTGGTGAATGGCCTCTCTTTCCATGCATTTGCAAGGACAGATGTTAATGCAACTGGCCGAAAGCCATTTAATGCTCTTAATCCTGGATTCCTAGGAATAGGAATGAATATGGATCCCTTCCACGACTTTGGCATGATGTAGGCATAAAGTAACCTCTGAAACAACTGGGTAAAAACACCTTGCAGCTGATGGGCATAAATCTTTGATGTGAAATGGTTAATTGTACTGAAACTGCCCAACTCTAATTTCTTCACAACGAAGGTGATAGGAACCAAGAGTAAAAATACACTTAAGGCTAGGTAATAACTTTGGGTTAGGGCACTTTTAGAGGTGGATGTCTGGTTCCTGTCACCACAACTGTGAACACTGTCAACTCTGGTTTCCCTGAAATGAAGCTTTTCACATCAAGCCACTCCAAATGACTTTGTTTACATCTAAACCACTTATTTATGCATTTTCAAAAACTGGTGGAATAAAAGATAAAAAATGAAAAAGGGTAATTAAAGGGTATTGCATGTGGGATGTCATGTCTAACATCCAAAAGCAGAACCAAAAACCAGAAACAAGATGGCAAAAGTAATGCTGCGCCTAAAGCTGAAAACGTCTGTACAAACGAATAAAAGAAAGTTGAGAAAAATCAAACAAATGAGCTGGATTAACAGCTTGCAGCGAGTCATCATTATTTGATAGCAGTGATAGCATTTTTTACCGAATGAATGGCTCATTTTGACTGGAGGACAAGGCCAAAGGTTTTGCAGAATGTTAGCAAGCTAATTCTCTCACTGGATGTCAACTGTGGTCAACTGCATTTGGCCAGGTAAGTGTTTAATGTAGAGATGCACAGATCACCGATGCACCGATTTTTGTATGGCTAATTTTTGGGGGATAAATTATTGGCCAATTTCATTAGCCTATTTTAAACACCTGACGCCCACACTGTGTGGACTAAGTAAACATGTGAAAAACAGTCCAAAATAACGAATACACTTACTCGGCATTACATTATTTACATCAGAAAGTTTCAACACAGATTGGTCAAAATGAAAACAGTTGGCCAATTGTCGATTGCTTCAAGCAAACAATGACCAATTCCCATCTTGGCTGATTACGATCACATGTTCTGATCATGCTACTCAGAATCACCCAATGCATGTAGGTACAAAACATTAAATAATGTTTTCTTAACACATTAATCTAAAGGCTGTCAAATTACTCCGACAATCATAATTGTTGTCTTTGATTACAGGAATAAACTGCACAATGATTTCTGGAAATAAAAAACCCACTATGGGTTTGATTGAAAAAATAGCTGTAAGCAGGAAATCTCACAGCAGGAAAATGTGTAAATGACTGTGTTGTAATCCCACCTCATGTTTCACGCATCCTGTCTGCAGCTAAGCTCAAAACCCTAGACACAGTAACGCAATGCCTTGTGTTTCGGTTAACATAAATACATCAATCTAGATTATACATACTTATTTTTATGTGCTTTATGTTGCAAAGTATAATATAAATGCTCAAAACAAACATATTCGTACCGCAGTTTCATTATTTCTAGTTGTCACATTGCATCAGTGCATCATGGTACTTGTTATAGGTCATACTGAGGCACTAGGCCATACACCATCCAGCATTATCTGTCTCTCAAATCTGAGGTGTTAGAACCCTGAGAGGAAAGGGTCTGGGAGAACCCAACCCATTTGTGAAGTTCAGGTTTTTGTATAAAGTTTCTGTTATTGTAATGTATATGGTTTACATTCTCTCTGCATCCACATTCCCTCACTTGATATCCTCATAATAATTCAGAATTCAGAAAGTGTTTGTGCTGGCTTCCAGGCGTGGTATGCTTACCACTGGGAAAAAGTCATTCTGATGACTTGAGAATTTTTTTTTGTTTTTTTCCCCTTGTCTCAGATTCTTAGAAAGGTACTGAACGCAAAAACAGACACCCACATCCGCAGGGCCCCATGCCTTATCACAATACTGTGGACAGCTGTTGTTCTTTGATTAGGAAATGTCTTTTTTGCCTCATAGCTTCCTCACAGCGATGTACAAAAGAGGGTATATGAAAAAGCGCTGTGTTTTGGATGAGGAGTGATAACATGCAGGTGTATTTTTACTTGGAAATCAAGGCTCGTCTGCCCAGATTCAAAACACGGGGTGTTAAAGACTGCCCATGTTGTGAGATCACATCAAAAATGAACCTAATCTCGGTTCATTATTCGATATACATAACAAAAATAAGAGCACTCATTAAACTATTAATTGTTAAAAACAGCAGAAAAAAATAAAATAACAAAAAATAGGAGCCAGCCACGGAGAACAGCTTTGTATTTCCGTTAGTAAAGCATACTTGCACACTGGCAGAGAGGCTTCCTGTGTCTGTAGTTTCTGTTTTACGTAGACTTTAACTTTCATGGCACCTATGGTCTCTCTTGTCGCAAAATAATGCCAGTAAAAAAGTGAAGCGCCAGTCTTAGCCAACTAAGATGTAGGGCCAGTTGAGGAGACATTGGGTACTGTTCTAATGCATCACTCTTGCGTCGTAAACATGCAACACACAGAAAAGTCCATAGGAGTTGAATTAAAAATTTCCACCAATTTGTCAAAATTTCTGTATAATTCAGTGGTTGAGATATAAACAAAGTTGTTCAGAGTGGTTTGTTGTGAAATGGTTCATCTGCAGTGTAAACTACAGACTCAGACTTCTTTAGTGGTGATGATAGGAACCAGACGTCCTAAAATCTACAATGCAAATATAGCCAATTATCTAATATCGAAACCACCAGTGAACCTACATGTCTTTTGAGTTTTTTATGTAACGTTGATGATTGTAAAATTTACAATTAATGGTCAATCTGAAAAATAAAATCTTTTCTTTGGGGACAAACATGACCCTTCATGTATCCCTCCACCATTAATATATTATATATATATAATATATATATATATATATATATATATATATATATACACGTTAAAATACGTTTTAGAGCAAAACTTCATCTCAAAACTAGTGACATCAGGCAGTTTATTCATAACCATTTCTGGGAGCCCACTGTGAACAATTCTGACTCTAAGTTTCCCTAGAAGTATTTTACAGCAAACCACTCAGAATGATTTTGTTGACATGTTAACCATTTACTTATGCTGAAATTTGGGTGGAGCTCCCCTTTAACTCTTACAGCATTCATATATGTCTCAACTGAACCCTGTAAGAGCGGATTCAGCGCGACACAGAGCTCGAACCGTAATTAGTTCTAAATAAACCTGCAGGTGTCGAATTCAGCACAGCGAAGCCCCCGAAGATGAGGCGGTGTTACATTCGTGTCCACGGTGCTGGTTACCTGTTTGGTTCCGTGTCCGGTTAGCATCGTCCTGCGCCACTTTGGACTTGGTCTCCTCAGACACGGACGCGTTGAACGAAGCCATCGATGCCGAGCCTCCAGCCGCGCTGACCCGGAGCCTCTGAGCCGCTGAAGTTAGTCTCTGTGTCGGCGTGTGGGGAGCTCAGAGGTCCTGTCAGTCTGATTTCATCAGATGGTGGGAGTGGAGGGGGGGTGAGTGTCAGTGAGGACGAGGGCACACCGTCCTGGGCGAGTCCACAGACAGACAGACGGTTTGGAGGATGAGCGTCGGTCTCCTTTTAGCTTAGCAGAAGCTGTTCAGTCGGACGTCTCGTCAGTTAGACTCATGCCAGAGCAGACAGTCTGTGTCAGTCAGGAAGCGGGAAAGCAACTTCTGCCTCTTTTTGTGTGTGTGTGGCACCTTCCGCCGCTGTGCTCAGCCTGCACTGCTCTGTAGCCTCACGCACCACAGCAACACCAACACTGAAACGAAACACACTCACCATGTCTGCACACCGCAGCACGAAGCTCAGGAGCTAACAGCTACAGCTAGCAGGTTAGAGAGTTTTTGTGGGCCATATACGAGTTAGTTGACTGCACAGTGGGCAATGTGACAGTTTACCCAATGAGTGGATTAACTGTAACAGACAGTGGGTCAGTTTAACACCTGCTAGAAAAGTCTGACGAATTAGTGCAAAACAAAGTTAATTCAGTGTAATTATATGTTGTAAGAAGCAAATATATTGTCCATCCGTACTGCATCATAAAGTACCATCTATAAGACAGACAGACAGCTCAGTTCATAGATACACATACATATGAAATATATGAAAACTGACATGACACTGTGTGTCAATGACAAATTTATTGGTTGTCCAGTGTAGGACAGCAAATTAAAAAACATCATACATCTGTAAAACATGGAACATTGGCTGTGTCCAAAACTACCATACCAGATTGTATGTAAACAAAAGGACACCACCCATAGAAGTCCATTGAAAAGTGTAGTATGTGTAGTAATAGTGTGGTTTTGGACACAGCTATTGTTTCTGAATAATTACAGCTTTACCAACTGTTAATGTCAATTTTTTTAAATATGCTATATCTGAAAGATACTAATAAAGTAGAAGAAAATCTCTGTGTTCAGATGTTTCTCTTTTTCATTGTAAAATTTGTGTAAACGTATGAAACAAAGAGACAAAATTGACTTTATTTGTCTTTGTTTACTAAAGGTGGCTCAGCTGTAATGCTGGGTAACTAACCCTGCAGTATGGAGGCTGGACCAGGCTGGCCCAGCTAGCACTTGCTATGAGCTTGTCAGCTGCTTCAAAACAGTGCTACATTGTAGGCAACAAGATTTTGATTAAAGTAATGTAAGGTTGGATTTTGTGATTTACAGAAACAGCTGAAGTAACTGAATAAAATTGAGTTAAAAAAAAAAAAACGTACATGTCCTGAGACGCTCTTTGGCACAGATCTCTTTAAAACGCTGATGAATCGCTCTGAATTTTTGAATGTGGTAATGTGGCCAGAAGCACACACTGCTTGACCTTATATAACAACACCAAAGTCTGTGTTGTCTGGTTGTTCCCCACGCTCCCCTACACGTGTGTATTCTGAATGTCGTACTGATGTGCACCTACAAGCAACAACAGCTCAGCCATGAAGTGATAAACCAGCAAAAGAACTGTGTGTTAGGAGCTTCACAAAATGGGTTTCCATGGCGGAGCAGCTACACACAAGCCTAACATCGAAATGCACAATGCCAGACGGTGGGGAGGAGTGGTGTAAAGACATGGCTGGGTGAGTTTGGTGAGGAAGAACTTGACTGGCCCTCACAGAGCCCTGACGTCAACCCCATCGAACACCTTTAGCATGAACTAGTACAGAGATTGCTGGCCAGGCCCTCTCGTCCAACATCAGCGTCTGACCTTACAAATACTCTTTCCTGATGAATGGGCAAAAATTCCCACAGACACACTCCAAAATCTCATAGTGTCTCATAATAATTACTTTAATACTTATAATACATATAATAATTAAAAGCAGAAAATCTCAATTATGAGAAAGCAACTCATAATTATGGGAAAGTAACAACAATAATAATAATAACAACAATAATAATGATAATAATAATAATAATTTGCCTTTATTACTTGACCTGCTTTCAGTTTTTGATCTTGCAATATGATTTTGTGATTAAAAATAGTGTTAAAAAGTTATAGAGCATTTCCACATCTAAAAAGTAAAAAAAAAGCCTTCAGTACTGTTCATTTTTATAGTTTATGTCATTACAAAGGTAATTTTATAATTTATTTACTAGATATAGTTAGATGTGATATTAATTCAGTTAAAAACAAAACTCCATTTGAGTTGTATGGTTTATTCTGCTTGCAGAATCTTGCTTTTCATTTCCGCATTGCAGTCTGTGCTGCACTGCTTCTGGTAAAGTCGTGCAGTTTAAAGCGAAACACAAATCGAGAATGGAAATGAGGAATTGCTTGGCAGCAGAATACAACTACTGTCTCCCATTTCCTAAAAAAGTGTCAGATGATACTCGTCTATTTAGAAGAACCAATCAACTACCACCTTCTAATTAAAGAATTGTGCTTCAGTGTTCACTCAAGTAGTATTCTCCAATCAAAAGTGTTGCCAATAGAATGGGATGCTGTAGAGCAGCTGCACCGTGCCCAATGTGACCAGTTAAAGGGGTAAATAGCACCCCCAGCATTAGGCTGTGGAACAGTGACATTGTGTTCTCTGGGGTGATGGAGCTGCATCCAATACCTCTGAGATGAGTTGGAGTGGCGTTTGTGATCCAGAACTAATCATCCAACATCTGTACCTGACCTCACTCATGCTACTGTGGCTGAAAGCCATTAAATCCTCACAGCAATGTTCCAACGTCTAGTGTAAAGCCTTCCCTAAAAGAGTAAAGGCTGTAACTGCAGCAAAGTGGGACAAATTCCCTATTAATACTCTTTATTTCATAAGAAACATTAGATGAGCAGGTGTCTAGAAACTTCTGAACATGTAGTATATATGGAGAATCAATATATCGCTGCTGTCGGAAGAAAACCTTGTATCTCCAAAATGGTAACTTTACAGGAGAAGGAAAAAACCTGCTTTACTTTTAATTTAAGTCAATGGAACCAGACTTTTTTCCAAGTAATTTTGGGCCGTTTCTTTTGGTCCATTCATCATGAAATTTACAAGGTAAAGGACAACAGGCATTTTCAAATTATGTCAAAACCTGAAAAATGTCTAAAATGGAGATATAAAATAAATGAATAAAATCACTAAGATAAGTGAACCTTTTGAATTCCCTGCCTCTAATAGACTTCATTATTTACACAGTTACGTAATGGCCAATGAAAGCATGATTTACTCTTAATCCTCTGCTGCTAATACTTTGTCTGGGCTGCCAGCTTCCTTTAAAATACTGTCGACTTTCTTATTTCTGGCTGCTGTGAACTCCTATACACCACACAAGTTGTATAAAGCCTGTTAGATGCTGACTTGACCAGTTTTTAAATACTTGCATGGCATGTGGCTATATCTGACTTGACCACAGCTGTGGCTCATAAGTTGTGCACTGGTTAAAACAATGCTTATGAAGCAAAGGTCTCTATGACTATGAATGAATATGAGCAAATATAAATGAGTATGATTGCTACTCTTCAGGAGGAGAGACCGTCATAACTTTTGGTAACTCTGTACACCTGTAAAATAACACTGTTGTCGGAAGAAAACCTTGTATCTCCAAAATGGTAACTTCACAGGAGAGGGAAAAAATCTAGTTTTAATGTAAGTCAATGGAACCAGACTTTTTTCCAAGTCATTTTGGGTCATTTCTTTTAGTCCATTCATCATGAAATTTACATACGATGTAAAGGGTAACAGGTATTTTCAAATTATGTAAAAGAAAATAAATAAATAAAAAAAAATGGACATACGAGGTTTTCTTCCGACAACAGCAATAAGCATAATGACAATAAGTGTGAATTTTACTAAACTGATATTAGTGAAATATTATATTCCAACAATACTGACTCCTATGTAGCCCCTGAGGCTATATCATAGTTTATTCTAGAATATGTGCCAAATGTCCATCAGTTTGTGTCTGCCTTTTTGTTCCAGCTGTCCTCATATTGTCCAGCGTGCCCTATCAATGTCTGCTTGCCTTATGCTCATTTGCTGTGTAGATATAATCTCCATAGATGCTAGAAAAGAATGGGTCTCATTAAAGAAATACTCCAGAATGTTTAAACCTAATCTGTTTCACTGCATCTGTAGCATATGGCCAGTGACCATAGACCTCTCAGTTTCCCAGGACATAGAAAACAACAGACAACCCGTTTACACACTTAGAATATAAGTCAAATGGGCAGATGCTGAATTCTATCAGTAAATGTCATGTAAAATATGCTTTTTGTGGAAGTTTCCAGAATTCTGCAATCTAAGGTGTTTGTAAAGAAGGTGTAAACCAATTGATTAATCCACAATGCATCTTGAGGTCATAAACAAACCTGAAATCAGTGGTATAAAAGCATAAAACTACTCTATTTGTCTGTAGGCATGGCAACCATGTCTTTGTTGTCTCTGTTGTATGTGACGCTGGGTCAAATGACTGCAAGGGAAACCACTTAATCATGAACATTCATTGTCAGGTTCATTAGTCAATCCACCCACACTCTTCTACTTGGAAGAGAATCACTGGCCAAAGTATGCACCATTTATTAGGAAGAAAGCAAGACCTTTACATCTCTTAATTTCAAAGCAGAGACTGTCAATTATGACAAATCTAAGGTTGTAGTCGAGACCACTAGAGGCAGAGTCGTGGGTCAAGACTGAGATCGGGACACACTGAGTCCGAGACCAGATTAAGCCTTTTTCAGAATGTAAAAATAAAAAGATGAAAGGATGAAAAAATGAAATTTGTTTGTAGTTTATTGTACATTAATTATTATTCATTATATATGATATATATTAACAAATGGGAGTTTTACAATATATTTTGTAAAATATAAAATATAGGCAACATTTGTTATTAATTATTATGATATTACATAATTGTCCAACTTTGCATTGTAACTTTTGGATGCAAATGATGGTGAGTTTCTCGGTCCTTCTTCTCTAAAGCTGACTCAGAATCAACTGAATATAAGCCAAACACATTCATTTCTACTCTTAAACGAAAACGCAGCATTAATAATGTTTCAGTCTGCTCTCAGGTGATGCCGTCAATTAGATCCGTTTTATTCCGTTTGAAGGTTTTGTTGATATTCAGTAGATAGATTTTTGAATTTCTGAGTCCATCTTTCGCCTAGACTGAATCAAAATAATGCTGAGACTGAGCCTGCTAGTTTATGCTATGGGCTCAGGAGACTTAATGGTGATTCTCGTAAAATTCCTCAGAGAAATAGCATTAGACAAAAAGGAGACATGAGAGATTAGTTTTCCTTAATGTGTTCTTGAGAAAAGGCCTAAGAAACAGTCTACGTCAGATTCATGACATGTTTTCAAAC